CAAGGAAGAGACCTCATGTGAACTCTAAATCAATTTCCTATTTTCAAAGACAAAAACAGATGCTTTGCAACAGAGATGGAGACCGCAGAATTAACCCCCTGTCTGCCACCGTGCCTGGATCCCTGACCATGACTGCCATTTCCCTCTAGCCCTGGTGTTTTTTCTCTTGAAGAATGTGCCGGCTGCCCTTGGTTGCTCTTAGCGTTGGCTTAGAGTTCCCAGGAGGGAAGCAAAGCTCATAGTTCTGTAGGCTGAAGCTGTCCACACCCAGCCCTGGGGAACCATTCATGTGTACATTTTTAAATCTTCCATTCATTCTTTTTTGAGCACTTAACTTTGTGTCTGGTATTGTATTAGGCACGAGGAATTCAAGGGTACTCAATTACATTGAGATGAAGCCGTTGTGTTTCTTCCCTCAAAGAGCAAGTCCAGAGAGGAACTAGACATATAAATGCTGCTTCTGCAATGGGCGGTTACAACCAGTTTTCCAAGTATCCTTAAGTCTGGAGCCCCTGTGAGGAGCCTGGGAGCCCTTTTATTCATCTATACATGTATTTGACAAATACACGCCCAATGTAAACCCATGTGTCAGACTTGACTCAAAAGTGAATACAACTGAATCCAAGACCTTCAGGAACTTACAGGCCAGAAGAGAGATGCCACAGCCATGGGAGGTGTGAAGCACCGTGAGGCCCCAGAGAACAAGCAGCTCCTTCCAGCTGGGGGACCAGGGGGGACAGAGGAGACGGGGCAAGAACATGGCACAGTGTACACAGTGTACGCCCATCTGTGTGGGCAGGGAGCAGGGCTGCTGGGTACCTGCAGGAAGGTGGGGGGCAGGACAGGAAGGTCTGGAATGTGGTAAGGGCCTGGCCACAGAGCCCTCAAATGTCAAGCTAAGGAGTTTTGACTACTGTGAGGGCTTTTCCAGCTGCTGGGTTTTGAACAGGGTGCAGACTTAACCAGAGCTCAGTTCATCAGAGCTTAATTAGGATGGTAATAGCAGCAGTGTGGAGACTGGATGGACGGGGAGGAGACTGGAAGCCCAGTTAGGACACAGCCACAGCCATAGAGAGGGGTGGCCAGGCCTGGAGCCACAGACAAGCAAGCAGTGGGCTCAGACTTAGCGCCAGCAGCAGGGCCTCCCCCAGAGCCTGGGAAAGCCCATCTGGGGCTCACTGGGGGCTTGGCTGCAGCAGCTTCCTTAGGGCCCCAAGGCAGCCTGTTCTGCCCCTAGTGAGCTACTTGAAAAGAGCTGAGCCGGGCACAGTGGCTCATACCTATAATCCCAGCACTTTGGGAGGCCAGGACAGGTGGATCACGAGGTCAGGAGTTTGAGATGAGCCTGGCCAGCTTGGTGTAACCCTGTCTCTACTAAAAATACAAAAACTAGCCAGGCATGGTGACACACACCTGTAGTTCCAGCTGCTCAGGAGGCTGAGACAGGAGAATCACTTGAACCTGAGAGGTAGAGGTTGCAGTGAGCTGAGATCCTGCCATTGCACTACAGCCTGGGTGACAGAGTGAGACTCTATCTCAAAAAAAAAGAAAAGAAAAAAGAAAGAAAAAAAGCTAGCTGGGCATGGTGGCTCATGCTTGTAATCCCAGCACTTTAGGAGGCCAAGGCGGGTGGATCACCTGAGGTCAGGAGTTCAAGACCAGTCTGGCCAGCATGGTGAAACCCCATCTCTACTAAAAATACAAAAAAAAAAAAAAAAAAAAAAATTAGCCAAGTGTTGTGACAGGCACCTGTAATTCCAGCTACTTGGGAGACTGAGGCAGGAGAATTGCTTGAACCCGGGAAGTAGAGGTTGCAGTGAGCTAAGATTGTACCACTGCACTCCAGCCTTGGCAGGCAACAAAAGTGAGACTCTGTCTGGAAAAAAAAGAAAAAAGAGCAGGGAGTTCACCAGGCACAGAGACTGGCACAGTGCACTCCAATGCCAGCAGGCTGCAGGCCAGCCACAGCACGGCCCAGACTGTGTTGGGACGGCTTCAGTGCGCAGAGTTCTTAGAAAGCAGTGGTGCCACAATGAGCACAGGGAGGGCCCCGGGGGGCCTCTCCAGGCAGCCCGTTGGCTCCCAGGGTTACTGAGGCTGTAGGTTGACCTTTTTCCTCTTACCCTCTGCCCCACTGTTAGAAGACTTTTTCCACTGAGAGAAGATGGGGGTGACCCAGTACTCTTAGAGCCCTTCAGGTTTTCTCTTCTTCTGCCCTGGGAGCTGGAACCAAGCATTCCAGGAGGAAGTGGGGAAGGGTGGCCACCTTGAGGGGTGGAGGGCAGGGTTTATCAGGGGACGTTGCGAAAAGCAAGAGCAGGACATAATGCTGAGGAAGATCGTCTGAGACGGGCTGGGTGCAGCTCCTCGTGCATGGAATCCCAGCACTTTGAGAGGCCAAGGCGGGAGGATTGCTTGATCCCAGGAGTTCAAGACCAGCCTGAGCAACATGGCGAAACCCTGTCTCTACAAAAAGTACAAACAATGAGCCAGGTGTGGTGGTGCATGCCTGTAGTCCCAAATACTCAGGAGGCTGAGGTGGGTGGAGAGCTTGCACCCGAGAGGCTGAAGCTGCAGTGAGCCGTGTTTGTACCACTGCATTCCAGTATAGGTGACACAGCGAGACCTAGTCTCAAAAAAAAAAAAAGTGGGGGGAAGAAAAGACCTGTAGAAAGAACTAGTAGCATGAGGCTGCCAAGCACTAGCAAGATGGGTGAGAGATCTCACTAAGCTATGAAACTGGCCGGCCTGGAAATCCAACTCTAATGAGGCAGGCAGTGAGAAGGACTGGATGGGGTTAGGGGAGCAAAGAAAGTCTCGTAAAAATGGCTGGTGGGAAGTACCCCAGAAGGAAAGAAAACTCATCATCAAAAGCCCCAAAACTGCAAAATCCCAAACAGGCCAGCAAGTAGCTGATAGAGACAAATTGGCAGTTCAGTGGGGCCATCCCTCGCAGTCTGGGAGCCTTTATCATAGTTGCTCATGGACTTGGTCTGGTTTTCACCCTACCAAGAGCTGAGCAGAAGGCTGGAGGGGTGGTCCCTCAGGGACAGAGCTCCACTGCTGCAGACCCCAAGCTAATCCCAGCAGGCACTATTGTCCAAGTGCTTGGGATGTGTGCTCCTTTTCTCTCTCCAGCACTGTGCAAGGTAGATGCTAGGGACTTTCTCAAGGTCACCCAGCAAGTAAGTGACAGAGCTGAGATTTGAGCCTTAGTCTTTTCTGTTCCCACACAAGGGAATGCTCAGGCCTTTCTGGAGAGGGGGCAGGAGACAGATCCTTCTCTCCCTCCCCAGGCCTGCAGGTTGAAGCTTGGGGCCTGTGCTGGTCAGCTGCCTCTCTCCAGGGAAATACGGCATCAGGCATTGAGCCCAGGAGAACAGTAGCTGGGCAATAGTTTGTGAAGACTAGTGGGTAAAGGGAAAGAAGAGAAGGAAACAGCCCTTCCAGGGAACAGCGAAAACTCTCAACTTCTGGCCAGGTGCAGTGGCTCGTGCCTGTGATCCCAGCACTTTGAGAAGCCTAGATGTGGGAGGATCAAGCAGCCTGGCCAACATGGTGGAACCCCTTCTCTACTAAAAATACAAAAAATTAGCCAGATGTGGTGGGCACCTATAATCCTAGCTGCTCGGGAGGCTGAGGCAGGAAAATTGCTTGAACCCAGGAGGTGGAGGTTGCAGTTAGCCGAGATGGCGCCACTACACTCCAGCCTGGGCGACAGCGTGAGACTCCCTCTCAAAAAAACAAAAACAGAAAAATTAGCTGGGTGTGGTGGCACATGCCTGTAATCCCAGCTACCTGGGAGGCTGAGGCAGGAGAATCACTTGAACCCGGGAGGCAGAGGTTGCAGTGAGCCAGCCTGGGTGACAAGAGCAAAACTCCGTCTCAAAAAGCAAAAAAAACAAATGAAAGCTGGATGTGGTGGCTCACACCTGTAATCCCAGCACTTTAGGGGGCTGAGGTGGGCGGATCACTTGAGGTCAGGAGTTCAAGGCTCCCTAGCTAACATGGCGAAACTCCGTCTGCAGTGGTGGCAGGCACCTGTAATCTCAGCTACTCAGGAGGCTGAGGTGGGAGAATGGCTTGAACCTGGGAGGTGGAGGTTGCAGTGAGCCAAGATCGTGCCATTGCACTCCAGCCTAGGCAACAACAGTGAAACTCTGTTTTAAAAAAATAAATAAATATGGCCAGGTGTGGTGACTTACTCCTGTTAAGTCTAGCACTTTGGGTGGCCAAGGCAGGTGGATCACCTGAGGTCAGGAGTTCGAGACCAGCCTGGCCAACAGGAGGAAACCCCATCTCTACTAAAAGTACAAAAATTAGGCTGGGTGTGGTGGCACATGTTGTAATCCCAGCTACTCGGGAGGCTGAGGCATGAAAATCCCCAGAGGCAGAGGTTGCAGTGAGCTGAGATTAGCGCCACTGCACTCCAGTCTGGGCAACAGAGTGAGGCTATGTCAAAACAAAATAAAATCTCTCAGCTTCCTCAGGGGCTTTGAAGAGGTAACCTAGAACTACACTGAAGGAAGACAGTGTTGTAATGAAGCAGAGCAGACTGTTTCCCTTTGGGCCACACCCATAGGGTACCTACTCTTTTCCAGAGGAAGGGTGGCATACCCCAGCCCAGCCTTAGGTCTGCTGAGTTTCCACAACAGGGACAGACAAAGCCAGCTGTCTAAACCTGCTCCTTGCATGCTAAGCTTCCACTGGTACTGAGAACTCACTGAAGCCAACTTCCTGCCTTCTGGGCCAGTGCTACCTCTTAGCTGGCCATCCTAGGCCTCAGTTTCCTCACCAGTAAAACAGAAGTACAGATTGTGATCATTTGGGGAGTTTTGTCTAGCTTTTTCAAGACTCAGATTGGTTTTCACAGTGTTAGAGTGAGTCTTTCTCTATCCTGCATTTAGTCAAGAATCCCCCAGCTGGTACCAGTGACTGCCGCCTGCCTCAGAGCCCCAGACCAGCAGCCAATTTGCTCTCTTCTGCTTTGTACCTGCCAGGTGAGGGCTCAGAGTATGGTGCCAGTGGAGAAGATGCGCTCAGCAGGATCCAGAGGCTGATGGCGGAGGGCGGCATGACGGCCGTGGTGCAGCGGGAGCAGAGCACCACCATGGCTTCCATGGGCGGCTTCGGCAACAACATCATTGTCAGCCACCGCATTCACCGAAGCTCTCAGACAGGCACTGAACCTGGCGTCGCCCGCACCTCCTCACCCCAGCCCTCCACCTCTCGGGGACTGCTTCCAGAGCCCAGGCAACTAGCAGAGCGGGGCCTAAGCCCCCGGACAGCTTCCTGGGACCAGCCTGGTACCCCTGGGCGGGAGCCAACCCAGCCAACCCTGCCCTCTTCCTCCCCTGTCCCTATTCCTGTTTCCCTTCCCAGCGCTGAGGGACCGACCCTCCACTGCGACTTGACCAATAACAACCACCTTCCGGATGGGGGCAGCAGCAGGGGGGACTCTGCAGGCCCCAGGGGAGAACCACGGAACAGGTAGAGAAAGCATTGCACTGGTGCCTCCCCTCCAACCGCCAAGCAGAAACCAGACCTCACAGCTGACTGGGAACTGGACATGCGGAAGAGCTGCTGGCTGCGTCAGGGAACAGGAGGAGGGTCGGGGTGGAGAGGAGGTCAGTGGGCATGAGGCAGTCGAATGGGCAAGGCCTGCCTCAGGGAATTAGAACCTTCCAGGATCTGGAGCCCAGGAGAGCCACACTGTGGGCTTAATGTGAATGGAGGAGCAAGTGGGTATCTCTGCCAGGCACCCCACTTTCTCCTAGTAACATGGGCTCAGGGGACTCAACCCTGGACAGAGAGCCTCCAGAGTGTGAACAGTCTTCCAGATCTGGGCCAGTCATCCTGAGCAGAGGCCCGTGGGGCAGCTTTGCCCTGTCCACCTGTTGGGTGGGCAGGGCCACCAGGAGCCCAGAAACAGGAGGAGTGGCCTGGCCCAGAGAAACCACCTCCAACTCTGAGCCTTCCAGAGCTTCAGCCTCTCTTCGTCGTCTTACCCCACTGAAACCAACAGGGGTCGGGCCAGGCTCCCAGATTCCTGAGGACAGGGACTTCCGGAATTTACCAATAGGGGACTACTGTGGAGTAAGGGGGCGGCCTGCTTGCCTGATACAGGATGGAGTCAAGGGACAGTGGGCAGGTCCTCACTCAGGAGTCGGGGGTGTAGGCTGGCCGGCCCCCAGGGCTTGTCCACCAGTCTCCTCCTCCCCCCAAGACCCTCAGAGCAGCGCCTGTGGGTATCAGTATTACCTGAGCCTAGGCCAAAGCTAGCCCAAGGCTGGGGGAGGGGAGGAGACGCCAGGTCAGAATGTGAGGTCTCAGTCTGTGACTTACGGTGTTGCATGTGGACTCTTAACTGTACGTGTAGTTTCTAGTGGCGAAATCAAGGCTCTGATCATTTTGTTTTTAGTATGAAAATGTGATTTTCTTTCTGTCTGTAACTCATCATAGAAGCATTGTGTTGGGAGAAGAGGGGATGGTCTACAGCTAATGAGGGAAACACCAAAGATCACATCATTAAAATGATGACATGCCCCTCACCAGGCTCCTCTCTCATTTATTTCCACGGAGGCTGGGGGAGGGGTGGGGATTGGGAAACGAGGGGTACTGAACTGAGTCAGGCCCAGTTCCCCCAGCACTGTTTCTGGTGCCAGTGGGGTGCAGTGGACCCATCTGACCCCTTCACCAGAGCTGGTCAGGTGAGGGCTGCCACCTCTGCTTCATACCACTTCATGCCACCACTTCCTTCTTCCCGGGGGCCTGCTACAGACTGGGACCACTCTCCAGTGGCAGGTGGGCATATAGGAATGATCGAAGGCTGTTCATCCTAATAGGTTTCCACCCAGGACTACAGTCCTGAAGTGATGTAACTGGCCAGAAAGCTGGATCCCCTCCAGTCCTGGAAAAGTGCACACAGCAGGTGTCCAGCCTGCCAGGTAGGTGGATGGGCTTGGTCCTGTCTACAGGCAAGGTGTCAATGGCTAGCTGCTCAGGTCTCTCTTGCTGTGTCTTCCCTCCAGTGGCCGAAAGGCCAGCTCTGTTTACGGGCTTTGGCTGCTTGAAAGCTTCCAGCTGGCCAGGTGCGATGGCTCACACCTGTAATCTCAGCACCTTGGGAGGCCAAGATGGGTGGATCACTTGAGGTCAGGAGTTTGAGACCAGCCTGGCCAACATGGTGAAAACCCTATCTCTACTAAAAATACAAAAAATTAGCCGGGCGTGGTGGCAGGTACCTGTAATCCTAGCTACTGGAGAGGCTGAGGCACAAGAACCGCTTGAATCCCGGAGGCAAAGGTTGCAATGAGGGGAGACCACGCCACTGCATTCTAGCCTGGGCAACAGAGCGAGACTCTGTCTCAAGTGGGACAAGGATATTTGTCCCAACTCTTTAAGAGCCATAAAAGAAAATCCAAGCAACACTAGGGCTTTTTGCTAGCAGCATGTACTTTTGAGTATTTTGTGTGTGTGTGTGTGTGTGTGTGTGTGTGTGTGCAACCAAATCTGTCCTTGATGCCAATTCTGGCCACAGAATTTCAGATTCTGCTCCAAAAGAGACAAAAACCAAAAGATAAATCCGCAAGAAATACAAAACCATCAGCCAGGTGCAGTGGCTCATGCCTGTAATCCCAGCACTTTGGGAGGCCAAGGTGGTCGGATCACCCGAGGTTGGGAGTTTGAGACCAGCCTGACCAACGTGGAGGAACCTTGTCTCTACTAAAAATACAAAAATTAGCTGGGTGTGGTGGCACATGCTGTAATCCCAGCTACTCAGGAGGCCGAGGCAGGAGAATCGCTTGAACCCAGGAGGCGGAGGTGGCAGTGAGCCGAAATCATGCCACTGCACTCCAGCCTGGGCGACGAGCAAAACTCCAACTCAAAAAATAATGAAATACAAAACCATGGCAAGACTCACTTTCTAGAAAATTACGTGTAACAGTGGACTCTGGACTGTAAGACACATCACTTAGCTGTGTGACTTTGGGCAAGCCGCTTGCCTTTTCTGGGCTTCACTTTCCCTTGTTAGGATGAAGGGCTTGTACTACACAACCTCAAGGTTACTTCTAGCTCTGTGCTCTGGAATCATTCAAGCCCAGAGAGCACACAAGTGGTTAGGGCAGGCCTCCTTTTCACAGGTGGGATTTAGGCACCTGTAGTCCTAAACTACTTGGGAGGCTGAGCCAGGAGGATCACTTGAGCATAGGAGTCCAAGTCCAGCCTGGGCAATAAAGTGAAACCCTATCTCTCTTTTTTTTTTTAAAGTGGGATTTGAGCTAAACATTGAAGGCTGGAAGGAGAAGGGAGCCCACTGCCCCACATCCTTTCCCCACTGCCCGTAGGAGGAAGAATTCCTTGGTCCGATAATGGGTCCTGTTAATTTGTTTAATGTAAACCACTCAAAAAAGATTCTGAGGCCGTTACTGCTGTTATCCCTACTCCCAAAGCACACAATTAACTGGCAGAGCCAGGGTTTGAACCAGGTCGTGTATGATTCCTGGGCACACAGCCAGCCACTGTCATTTCTACAGAAGGAAGATGAGGTGTAGGAGAAAAAATGGGACCCTGATTTTTTCTGTTGCTTTGGGGAAAAGGGTATGAGGAGGCCCCTAGGGATGAGGTGATCCAAAATTTTTGTTTTCTGTTTGTTTTGACATGGAGTCTCACTCTGTTGCCCAGGCTGGAGTGCAGTGGCACAATCTCGGCTCACTGCAACCTCTGCCTCCTAAGTTCAAGCGATTCTCGTGCCTCAGCCTCCTGAGCAGCTGGGATTACAGATGTGTGCCACCACACACAGCTAATTTTGTATTTTTATTAGAGGCAGGGTGTCACCTTGTTGGCCAGGCTGGTCTCAAACTCCTGACCTCAAGTGATCTGCCAGCCTCGGCCTCCCAAAGTGCTGGGATTATGGGCATAAGCCACCACCCAGCTGAGGTGGTCCAAATTTAGAGCTGCCTGGCCTTGCCTCTGCTGTCTCTGGATGGTGCCAGCCATCCTCCCCCAACCCCATTGGAGGCCCTTGTCAACACCTTCCTGTCCCCATACCAACTCCTTTCCTTAGAAAGCCCTTGCCCAATGACAGAGCCTCTCTGGTGGTAAAATCTTTGCAGGCCCCTCAAACATCACAAGGTTGTGGCGTCAGCAGGGCAAAGATAGGGGCAGTCCCTTCTGGAGATGAGGGAATAGGTTCATAGAAATTCTGTTACTTGTCTGTTAACCTAGTGGCATCAAAGGCAGAGCAGAGAAACCATCAGGTCCCCTTTTTCCCAGCTCGGCTCTCCAGGGTTCCACAGTGGGTTCTTGTGTTTGGGAGATTGCAGGAGGTCAAAAGCCCCTTCACAGCAGGGATTGTGGAGAAATTAAAGTGACTGTGCCTGCCAGCTTCTGGAAGAGCTGGGGTTAGTAGCTGGAGGCATGTCTGGTATCTGCAGCCTCCCATCCTTGGCCTTGCTTGTTTTCTCATCGGACTGTTTTAAGGATCTGCCTTCCTCCTCCACAACCCCCACCTCCTCCAAGGAGTACCACACTCTTTTGGGCCCTGGGAGGGACATGGCAAAGTGGAACAGGTGCAGGACTGCAGTCTTAGGGTCTTATAAACCAACTTTCCTTATTTGTGAAGTGGGGCAAGAACAGTAGTGCTTCTTTCATCCCCAGTTATGAGGTCCTGAGAGATCCGATCATTCTTGTAACAACAGAAGATGGCTTCCTACTCCAACCAACCAACCCCAGCCCTGAAGTTCTCAACTCCTGCCAACCCCAGCCCTCGCACTCGGGAGCTCTGGGGACCCGACCTCCACTTCCGGGTTCAGAGTGGAGAACCCCACACCGACAGCCCCGCAGCGCCGACTTCTGCTCGGGTTCCCTCCCTTTCTTTGCCAAGAGGCTCCTGCCTCTTCTCCACGGCCGCCCCCGCAATCGCAACCCCACAACCACCACCTCTGGCCCTCGAGGGAGGGTCTCGAGTTGTTTCCCCGAAAAGAAGAAACCAGACTTCTTAAGGTTAATCAAATGTTTGCAATGAGATTTTGGGTTACAGGCCTCGGTCCTGGAAGCGGTGGGGTGCGTCCGACCCTGGCGGGCGCTCAGAAGGGCGCTCTCGGAGGGAGCCGAGCGCCGGAGCAGGATCAGACCCGAGAGGCCGCCGGGCCGGAGCGCCGGGAGCTCTCCGAGGTGCTGAAGCCGCCCCGCTGTCGGCCCGGCTGGGGCGAGGCCCGGCGTCCTGAGGCTCCGGCCCGTGCGGGTTCCCAGAGACCTCTGAGACTGGCCGCCCGCTCTCCGGGGTCTTGTCCCGCGCTCCGGCCCTGGTGACCTTGGGCAACTGGCTGTCCCTCACAGGCTGCGGTGAACTCGCGGTCCAGGCTGCGGCTGGACGGGCGGCGCGTCCCATCCCGGGGCTGGGAGAGCGGGGGCGCGCCCCTTCCCCGGCCTGGAGCGCCGAGCAGGGACCCGAGCGGGTGCGGGCGAGTGGTCCGCGGTGGGCTCCTTCCTTCCCGGCCGACCCTCGCCTGTCCACCCGCTCCTGCGCTTCCCCAGGCCCCGACGGCGCCCCTCCTCGCGGGTTGCCGGGCCGGCACATAGCTGCGCGGCTGGAGCTCCGGGCCCTCGGCCCCGACGGAGCCCTGGCGGCGCAGCCCGCCCCACCCACTCGCAGCCTCCCGCTGGGGTCAGACTTGGGCGCCTCGCGGCCAAACCGCGAGCGGGGCCGCGCAGGGCGCTGAGGTCCGTAGAGGCGCGAAAATAGCTCAGGGTCCAGGGAGTGCGGTCAGGGTGGAGGCGGGAGCGCGGCCGGACCCGCTGCCAGCTCCCTCCCCAGCCCGCGAGGGGGCGCCGCGTCCCCATGACAACGCGGACACCCCACCCCCCGGAGGGCAGCGCCCCCTGCTCCCCTTCGCCGCCGGCCGTGAGCGGCGCCCTCGGTACCCCGGCAGGGAGCTGCCGGCCGGCCTCCGGGAGGGGCGCGGACCGCCGGGGTCTCCGACGCCCCGGGTGGTGACCCCCGCGCGTCGCCGCCGGGTGACCGGCCCGGGGCGGGCGGCGCGGCCCCGCCACGATTGGCTGCTTCCTCGTGACATCACGCGGCTCGGGGAAAAGTGCGAGCGTGAGCGCGAGTCGGAGCCACAGCGCCGGGAGCTGCGGGCGGAGCAGGGGCCGCCCCTCGACACCCCGTCCCCGCCCCCGGCCCTCGGCCCGGCCGCCCGCCCCGCTGGCCCGCGGGGCCGCGCGTCCGTCCCGCCGTCTGTCTGGCGCGAGGGGAGCGGGGCAGAGGCGGCGGGTAAGTGGCTCCGCGGCGGCGCGGGGGCGGGGGGCTCGCCGGGAAGAGCAGGAAGCAGGTCCCCGGGACGCTCTGAGGCTCCCCAGAGGTGGGTTCGACTGGGACTGGGCGCCAGAACCCCTCCGGGGCGAGCGAGGTGCCGGGAGCTGCAGAGGGCCGGGGCTGGGGGACCCCGCTGGAAGCAAGGCCGGGGTCTCTCGGAGGCTTCTCCAGGTGCGCCCGTGGGAAGGGGTGGGCATCCAGGATGTCGGAGGCGGGAGAGTGCCCGCCCAC